TTAATTTATGTTCAACTGGTGCAGTTATCTGAAAATGGAGGCTAATATGATATCATCCCTTTGAAGTTGAATGAAAGACAAAGATAAGGGTTAGACCGGTCTGTTGTCGGGATAAGAGGGGTAATATGCAATTAAGCACAAAGTTGGACAAGTGGGCCAATAATTAGGTCTCATATTTGAAATTAGATTCAGACCTAGATTTTGAAATTACTCTTGATGAGATCAGAGGTAATGTGGTGAAATAATGACCACCCATGATGTTCTTAGAAAGTCATCACAGTGTCTGCTTAATACCACAGCAACAGAATTACATCATTTTCATTTAGCAGATTTCTTGGCAGTGTTCACACTTGGTATTAAGCTGATGGAACTATATGTGGCAACCTTGCTAAACTTCTGGTAGAAGAGATAGAAGTCACTCTAATACATATACCACAGCATCACAATTACATTATTTTCATTTAGCAGATTTTGTGGCAGTGTTCACACTTGATATTAAGCTGATGAAAGTGCATAGCAATCTTGCTCAACCTCTGGTAGAAGAGGTAGAAATCACTCTAATAACACAGCTCCTGTATTACACTGTAATCATTGAGCACATCACTTGGTAGTGTTCATACTAGTAATGGAGGAGGTGCATACAATCTTGCTCTGCTTCTAGAAGTCATCTCTCACTGTCAACATGTCATAGCATATATGAATGACTTCATATTTTTATTTAAGTTTAATGGCAGTGTTCATACTTTGCCAATTTGATGCTTAACAACCAAATGTGTGATGTGTAAACCTAGCAAATTCAAAGAAGGATGCCCTGGTCCATCTTTTTATGTAATCGTTGCCAATTTTATGCAACACGACCAAGGAAAAGATGTGAACATGAGGATGCATGGTCGGGAAATTTCTGGATGTAATCGCTGCCAATTTGATACCACGCACACATCCAAGAAAAAATGTGAACACGGTTACAGTGAATGTAGAAGGCTAGGACGCATCTATGGATGTGAATGTTGCCGATTCGATCAAAATAAATTCACTGGGTGTGTGGAAATGTTGACTCTTTGTTTTGTCGTGGCTCATCTTAACCGACCCCAGAGAGATAAGTTTTGGCAAGGGTGGGCAATTAACCTAAATATCACTCATTGATCATTAACCATATGTAGGGCAGGTTATGTTCCGCACATGAAAGTACGTCATGTGTTGGACGCCTCGCTCGTTGGTTGATTTTAACCGCAGATGAGAATGAGATAGATACAAAGAAGGTAGGAAGACAGAAAAAAACAGGGAGGGAGAGAGACAAATTGATAATGTCATCTCAAAGGATTCTTCCTTTTTAAGCACAGAACAGAAATCGGTTGAATGGAAATCTAATTTCATTATCATTCATTCATTCATTATAGTTGATTGTATGGCAATCAAGGCAATATTTTTGATTCATAAAAGTTTGTAATGAACTTTAATGAAGCTTAAGCATATAAAGTAGTGTCCTATTACGGAACTGATGCCCACTAGAAAATGATCAAAGTTTCATCCTAGACAATGAATAATAATGGGATTGATTTTCCAGAAGTTACTTTTTTCGTTAATATTTTTCCAACAAAATTTACTGCTATGTAAAAAGAGGCGACAAAGAAATCCATCATTTTTAAAAATGAATTGCAGAATCCTTAAAACGACTCAATCATTGGCTATCTCTATATATGGAACAAATGATTGATAAAGGAAAAAGGTAAAGAGGCCGAGACAACAGATAAGAGGGCGAAAAATAAAGGGACGGGGGGGGGGGGGAGAAATAAAGGGTGAAGTTACAAGAGACAGAGAAAGAGGGAGAGGGGGAGGGAGGGAAAGAGAGAAAGAGTAAGTGAAAGAAAGAGAGAGAGAGAGAGAGAGAGCGAGAGAGGGGGGGGGAAGAACTTTGTCAATTTCTCACTGTACTTTTGCCACATCTGACCTTCACATGTGAGAAATTGCAACATAAATATCCATAAAATTGTTTTTCTTCTCTTCTTTTCTGTCATGTTTACAACATCAAACCTCATCACAGCCCTCCTCTTGCAAACATAGGGGCTGCCTGTGACAAAGACATTTAGCCCAGTTCCAAGCTGAATCTGCTACAGGAAATATTAATTTATCCATTTGTTACACTCTTGGCAGGCCAGCACAAGTGAACTGTCAGCCTGCATATGACGGTGGACGACTGACGGTCCGTCCGTACGTCCAGCCAGGCGCCCTCGGCTCCAACCAGACTTCATCTTGTCACAAACTTGTCTCCTCGTGGCCTAAATAGTTTTCTTCTTTGTTTACTATCTCTCCCTCTCTCTCTCTCTCTCTTCCATCATTTTATCTCTATTTGCATATGATCCTATTCTGTTGTTCTGCCAATCTCTTATTATTTCATCATGATCCATTTTCTACCACTTTGTCTTCACATAACTTCCTCCCTATATACTCATGTTTCTAACTGTTGATTTGTACCTGGCTCTACATGGTTTAATTAGACCTTTTAAAAGAAATACTGCTCATCTAATTCACTTTTATTTTCAAAGAACTGTCTATGTATTAATATTCCCCCTCTTTCTCTCTCTTCCTGTTCTTTTCACTTTATCTCTGTATGTCCCTCTTTCTCTCTTTTTCCCCTCTCTGTTTTAATACTTATCTCTCTTTTCCCTTGAGTTCTATCACTTTGTAAACTCAATGTGTATCTCTTTCTCTCCCTCTTTACATCTCTTTAACTCTTTTTTTCTACCTTTCTTGCTTAATTTTCCATCTATTTATATTCACATCTTTATAAAACTTTCATTTTCTCTTTTCTTCTATCACAACTTGTTCATCTTTCCCTACTTTTCTCATTTTTAAAAATAAATCTTCTATTCTTCTGTCGTTTCTCCTTATCTCTCTCTCTCTCTCTCTCTTTATCTCTCTCTCTCTCTCTCTTTATCTCTCTCTCTCCTTCTCCCTCTTTCTCCCTCCCCCTTCTCTCCCTCCTCTCTCTCTCTCTCTCTCTCTCTCTCTCTCTCTCTCTCTCTCTCTCTCTCACCCTCCCTCTCTCTCCCTCTACCTGTCTCTTGCGTTTGGTATCTTCCACTCTTCACCCGTAACACATGAGGCCCAGGAATGTAAACAACTTTGGTCTCAAACTTTGTGTGTTTTTTTTTTGTGGTGAATAAAAAATATGTCACTAGTCAACATAAGTCAAGTTCAATGACAAGGGAGCGAGATTGATAAGATAACATAGCGTTTCAACATAAATATTGCTCTCCAAACCAAAGCAAACTGGGTGAAAAATTTGACAACTCCGATGCACAGCTCCAGTGAACTCTTCTCGACGCTCAAATTACTGAGAAGAATGTGCAGTTAAAGGTACTATTTACTATTCAATTTAAATTACAAACTTTTCATTTTGAACGTGATACAAGCAGCAAGTCAACTACTAAATAAATATTTATATTTAGGATGAGTTCATGCAATCTAATAAGTGAATTATTAGGTGAATATTGAGATGGTTTTAATGAAAGCAGAAAAATTAGAAAAACAGATCAGTTAAAGTTTGACCAAAAAACGATTAAAAGTAAGAAAGTTATGATTTTTTTAGAATCTTCAACAATTTATATTTTCAATTATACATTCACCCTAAATTTAATTATTTCAAATATGCTTTTTTATACAACCCCTCTTTGAAACAAATCTATTCCATCATCAATAACTAAGAAAATTAAAGTTTAAGAAATTTTCTTTACAGAAAAAAATTGGTTAGGAGCTCACATGTTAGGTCACAGAGTTGCCAATTTGTTTTTGATTGACCTCAACTTCCAAATTAATAACATCCTATTTTTTATTGCATTTTGCTCAACTTTCAGTGATCACTGATGATATCCGGATGGACTTCCCCTTTAAGCAAGGGGTCTACACACTAACTGTTCAATATAACAGTATTCATATCGAGTCTACGTCAAGAGCTGAGGGCGAAGTACACAATCGTTACACTGAAGGAACCTGATGACATTGTTTGGGATCTAGTTCATTAATGACTGTTTGAGAGTTATCATCTTGATTGCAAAGGTTGTGTATATATACACATTTTCTGACTTTTAGATGCCAATCACTACTAGAGATATTCAAATTAAACACAAGTAGAATTCGCTAAGAAGTACCCAGATACCCTAACCAGTTTTTCTAGGCATGCACAAATAATCTGTATGTAGACATAGACATGTATATATGTGTAGTGTAATGCATATTGCCAGGGATGAGACAGAGAAATTCCCCAAAAGGAGGAAGATTAAATGGGGGTTCGGGGGGCAACGCCCCTGCCATGGATAAAGGGGGCATCGTCTCATACAGGGGTGAAAAGGGGTGGCCCCCTTTCTACTATAACACTGTTCATACAAGGTTGTTTTTTAAAGGTTTTTTTTTTTTTTTTTTTTTTTTTTGTTGTTGTTTTTTTTGGTTAAAATTTCATAATCGGCAGAAATCCAGCGGGGGAATCTTATCCCTGATATTGCTCATAATGTAGATATGTTGTAGTCGAGTGGTTTGAACACAGGACTGGAAATGTGAACAATATGTTCGTTCCCTAGCACGGACCTTATGTCCATTAGCAAGGCATTTTTCATCTACAATGTTTCTCTCCACCCAGGTGTCAAGTGGGTACCCGGTAGGATACTGAAGTCATAGTAGTTTGCTCTGCATTGTGAGGAGTGTCTACAACATGGCTCCTGGGTGGAATACTCCCCAGGGAGTGGAGAATGTGCAAGCATTGTGTGCCGGGAATGCCTGAATCCGATGACTGGGGAGATCATATTTCTGTACTGTCCCTTGAGACATGGTAGATGGATTAAGCGCTATATAAACCCATGACATTATTATTACTGATAATGGGCTCCTGCCAATGCAGCAGATATTTGCTCAATCTTGCTCAGTAAGTGTATTCCACAACACAACACAGCAACTGGAACCTATTGTTACTTCATACTAGATCAAAGACAGATTCATGCATCACATACCTCAACAAGATGGTTGTCCGGTCCGTAGAGGTCCTTGTCAAGCTCGATGACCAGGCTCTTGAAGAAAGAGGAAAACTTGCGCTTCTGCCGTGTGTCATACTTGGGTGCACTAGGCTGTGAATTTACAGATATAAAAGACAGTATGACGGATGAAACGGTGAAGAATAAGGATGAGAATATTATGATAGAATGAAGAAAGAAGTGAAAATAAGAGAGATGGATGAAATCGTCAGATTTTAGTAAGTCTGTTAATACTTCTTGACTTCTTAACTCATAGACTTCTAAATTGTTTTATCCATAGGCTTTAAAGGGACTTGGTAACATTGTTCAGATGAGAGAAAATGGTGCTAAGGTAGTGACTTCAATGCTAGATGTAAAAATAAAGATAATCTGAAAGTTTGAGTGAAAACAGACCATTATTAATGATAAAATTGGGAAGAACTGATCTGATTGATTCCTTAATTCTCCCAACTATATCATTACAATTTAATTACATTTTAGGTGAATTTAATCTTCACAAAGCAATGAAGTGGCTCTATATACCATTCCAGACATTGAAAGATTTTTAAAGCCTGTAGCAATTGCCTCAGGAGCAAATGGGGGGTCACTGGAGAGTAAAGTGCACAATGTAAAAGCAGAAATGTACTTGAACACAATTAACACCCCCCCCCCCCCCACTCCTATAACCATCTCAAACTCCCCTATCAATTATACTTCTTATCCCATAAACTTACATCTTCGAGCAGTCTCCCTTCCACTCTCAGCTCCCACGATGGAACGCTGGAATCATCTTCCTCCGCATCCGGTTTGCCGGGGTAGTACGTGTTGGAGATGAAAACCCTCAGCTTGCGTTTTTGCTGCAAAGATACCAATAAAAAAAAAGCAAAGATTTAATAAATGAAGTAATTGAACATTTGCCAAGTTTGTATTATTCTTAAACAGCTCCCTCTAATGATATGATTCAAGAAATTCCAAGTTTTTATTTTTAATTATTATCATTTTTTGTTTTTACTTTTGTTCTCTGACTTGGCAATGGTTACACAAGGAGCACAAATTACCTCAGTTGCTGTTTTCATATTAGAGGCAGAGTAGATGAAACAGGAGTCATTGACACAAGGTATCAAGACAGAGTTAAAGTATCTGTGATCTTATGCATCATGCATTAATCTTGAAGTACTTAGTCCCAAGAAGAATATGTATTAGGCTATAGGTTTAATAGTTGCGTATTGCTTATATGTAGAGGTGTCGTGATATAGTGGATATGACACCAGACTGTGGATCACATGGTTTGTGGTTCAAGTCCCACCTAGGTGAAGTAAAGTGCCGTTGCCTTATCATGGCAGCTCAGTTCGTCAGCTGGGGTAGAAATTTACTTTGTATTAAAGTGCAGTAGAATATATTCATATAGTAGCTGTGTTATGGCTCGAATATTCCAGAGCATTATACTTTCCATAAAGATTTGGATATTATGATCACTTACATAAGTGGGGTTCAACTCATACTGCAATGTGCACTCATTTGAATTCCCCAAAAACAACAAGAAAAGTAGATATAGACGGTATAAATATAAATTTGATTTTAAGGATTAATCTTTAAAAAGATTAAGAGCTCTCTCAAAATGGTTTAAATGTAACTGTACATGTACTAGATACCTTTCCCTAAATTTAATAAGCTAGCATTTACAAAGTATAATACACTCTATAAAATGCTGACTGTACATCACACAGATATGTGGCTATCTAGAGCAAAAATATAGGTCACATTAATTCTTAATTCCTCATTACAATAATAAATGCCAATAACTTTATTTTGTTTCCCCTTTGGAACTTAAGGGTTTCAGTCGGGAGTTCAAAAATTGGGCATTCGAAGACCGGTCATTAAACATTTAGATCCCTTATCAAGGGATCGTTAACACGCACAAACAAAGCTTTGCGGCGGCAGCAGGAGGGGAAAAATAGGGCCTTGTTGGCTTGTATGAATGCATGCTCTTAAAAGATTAATTTGAATAGATAGATCATGGTAGATCTAGGTCATTTGTGAGACTGTCAACTCGCCAACAAACACTCATCCATTTGATCCTGTCTCGTGGCCCAAATACACATCAATGAAAGACAAAGAGATAAACCAACAAACACATCAAAATTTGTGTAATTGTGTACAGGCTTTTGTGTCGAACAATGGCTGTCCCATCATTGATCACTCAAAGACTCGATTCTCTTCTCTTCTCTCTCGCTCACTCTATCCCGGTCTTTCTCTCTTTAGCCTACTTTCTTTTGAAGATAGCTGATGCGTGTTTAACGACAATGCCATTTTCAAGCTCCATTATTCAAACTGGTTCAGAGTGATGAATTTCAATGCACTTTTGTGTCGCTACGCACGCATAGAGGGCTCATCTTGCAACACGGCAGCAACAAACTTTTATACAGAGAGATATAAAGAGAGGAGTAAGGAAGAGATAGAAAGAGGGAGTGAGAGAGAGAAAGAAATTGATAGAGAGAAAGAAATTGATGGAGAGAAAGAGAGATAAAGAGAAGGGAAGAATCGACAGGCACACAAGCTCTCAGAGAAGGTGAGGGGTAATTCAGAGGGGGAGAGAGAGGGGGTGGGAGAGAGAGAGGGAGAGAGAGAGAGAGAGAGAGAGAAAGAGGGGAGGGGGTAGAAAGTACGGTATCAATAAGAAGTTTCTTTGAAGAGGATAAATACAGAAAAATTGGAGGATACAAAACAAACAAGAGAAAGGGATATAAAAATGATTTTTACACTGTTGGAAAGAAAGAGAGAGAGAGAGAGAGAGAGGGGGACAGGTATGGAAATAGAGTCAGACCCACCCCCCACAAAATTAAAACAAAAAACAAACACACAGAATAAAATCATTTATAGGAAAAAATAATCATAAAGACAAAGCAGGACAAATGAATGCAAGAATCAAGGGGATCGAAGCAGCAAGACAGAGAACAGAATACAAGGATCTAATAAAATGAGAGAAAAAAATGTGGAGACATAAAAGAACGAGCGAAAATGACAGAAAGACGAAGATCAACATGACTGAAAGATGATGAAGTATAGCTATTGAAGAGGCGATATAAAAGCTTCACAAACATAACCTAAATATCATTGAATCCTTGTCATAACACAATCAATTATCCCATTGTCAGCTGCCAGTCTATTTAACAAATCGCTCCTCTCCTAGCACTCCCTCTCTCTCTTTCCCCAAACTTATTCGCTCTCCCTCTTTTTGGGTCACTATCGACTGTGTGGGCACAATACTACATAGGAACTATGATATCTTCACTGTACTAGACTACCATATTTTGTTTAATGTGAAGGCCATGTTGCTGTATGTTGTGAATGACATTTAAGTCAGCATTTACATTTTTACCACAAATATCTGTAATAATGACCAAAAAAATGTGGAGGCCAAGTTGCTGCTCGTTGTAAATGAATTTACATTTTTACCACAACATCTGCAATAATGACAAATTTACCTTCTTTTCTTCATCCTTTTTCTTTCAATGTCTTTTAAAACTACATACACCATCATATACACCTACAACTACAAGGGATCAATTTTTAAATACATTTGTGCATACAGAACATTCAGGTTATCTTTCAACAGAGTATACTCCCACAAGTTATAGTGAGAATACAACCTCCCACTCAAATTAAAACTGAAATCACTCCATGAAAAGTATCCTTCTTCATGTAAAAGAAGTTATATCGTTTGGTTACTTTGGGTGCTATCAGGGTCTGTTAGCTGAGACTATTGTCACTGTGGTTTGAGTTGTATGGAATGCTTTTTGATTGGTTGATTGATGTGCATGGCGTCTTCGTCCTACCAGTTGGGAAGTGCACGGGGGGGGGGGGGGGGGGTGTTTCACAAAGATTTGAAGTCAAATTTAACTCTAAGTTGGACTTAAACATTATGGAGAGCCATTTGTAGACTTAAAATAAAATATTCAAAAGCAAAAATTCAAGTATTTTAGACTTTTCATAAATTCCACATCAAGAACATGAAATCTCCCATGATAATAGAAAATATGAATGATTCTAATCAACATTCTATGCCTTTTAAAATGACTTTTACAAAATATTTTCAAAGATGCTAACAGCTTTCCATAATTTTTAAGTCCAACTTAGAGATAAGTTCAACTTAGGATCTTTGTGAAACACCCCCCAGGTCTCAAGTCATTCACTCTATCAAGAGAGTCACTGAATTCCATTTTTTATTCCTCTATTCAATAAATGCCCTAAAAGCATTAAACATTGCTCTTTTTTGTGTGACAATGAACCCAGAGTTTATTGAGGGTGGAGAACTATTTGAGGGTGTCAGAGCTCTTTCCAAACTAACATTAATCAATATCAGCATATTTCATCACAAAGAGTTCTATCAATTATGACCCATTTTAGTGATGCAACCATTTTGACATATATCTGGAAAGACTGGCTGACACATAACAAAGCTTGCAAGTGCTCATCTTTTATCAACTGCTACAGCCAATGGCCAAAAACTAGTACAATATACTTGTTTTAAATAAAACAGGGACATATAGAGGAAAAAAGATAAAGATAAAATAGGAAGAAGCAAGAGGAAAGTAATTTACATCAGCTCTGAAGGCTATATATTTTCCTTTTATTACAGATATTAATAAACTATCTAGGCCACTTTGCAGACCCTCATACATCTGTGATTTATAAGAGAACTATTCATTTTACACCTCAGAGGCATTCTTTCCACAGTTAGAATATGATACCTGCAAGACAAAACTGCATGACTACTGTCAATGGATTGCAAGTATATTTGGTCTGTTTGGAGCAAGCAAGGCATTCAAAGAAGCAAGAGGAAAGTAATTTTCATCAGCTCTGATGGCTACATATTTTCCTTTTATTACAGATAATAAGAAACTACCTAGGCCACATTTCATTTTACACCTCAAAGGCATTCTTTCCACAGTTAGAATATGATATCTGAAACTTGCAAGACAAGACTGCATGACTACAGTCAATGGATTGCAGAAGTACTTTTGGTCTGTTTGGAGCAAGCAAGGCTTTCATTTGAGTTAGGGTAAGTGAGTTAATGCCCTTCTGGCTCTAAATAGACGATTTGGAATTGTGTCAACACATCCTAGCCATTTCTATGAAAGCTTCAAAGTGGTTCACTTATTAGAGTGAGGTTTTTGGAGTTCAACAGACGACAGGTCAGAGACATCATCGCTCAGTGTGTAAGTGTGTGTGTATGACTCTCTCTCTCTCTCTCTCTTCCTTTCTGCAGCCCCATTCATACACTTCCATGTAAGCTGGCTCTATATCCAGTTGAATCCAATTGGATCCGGTTGGATTTAGTTTAATCTTGATTAAAGACTGACCATGACTTTAATTTGAGAGATCCAAAGATGGGCAAGATTAAACTATTGAATAAATTGAAGGATATTGATAAAGGGGCCTGGAATAATAATAATAATAATAATAATATTTAATTTTTATATAGCGCTTAATACAAATGTCTCTAAGCGCTTTACAAATATACTATTACTCATTGTCAGTTGAATAATTGTTTTGTGTTACAGAGTCGATGTTGAAATCAGGTCCATATTAGGTCTTTTTAGCCTACATGCTAACAAAGACATACCTCTGACAAAGACACAAGGCCCATCATGGTTGGTAATTGGAGTGGTTTTGAAAGAAGATTTTTCTTTTTCTTTTTTTTCGGGAGGGGGGGGGGTGTTTGGGGGAGGGGGACTTCAGCCCCCAAAGCCCCCTCTAGAACTGCTACTGACTGGTGGTTACACAAGATAGAGCTATTCAATGTCCTTTTAAAATGTTTCAACTGAGGATAAGGAAGCTGAAAACAGCCTGGACTTCCATGTAATATGTACTTTAGAAAAACACTATATGCCTGTGAATAAAGGCAGCAGTCTCTAAAATGGGAAGATTCAACAAGAATAATGATAAATGGTTGTAACCATGGTAACAATGATACTCTAGTTTAGCATCCTATGAATACTATGAGGTCTGGAATATAATTAATAAATTCTTGCTGCTTTTCTGCAGATCAATCCTTCTGTATAAACTGGGTCTTTGACATCCCAAACACAAGAGAGAGAAAAAAATCCACCCTGAAGGATAAAAGGGAAAGACTTTTAAATAAAATCCCCAGAGAAACCTAGCAATTCCTTTCTTGCATTCGGACAAACAATCAGATATATGTGCCAAATCAGACTGGGACAATGACATTGAGGAAACAGCCCAGCGGCTGCAAAACACAGGAATAAAGACTGGCTAAAATCATGAATAGTCGCAAAGAATGCTGACACCATAGCTAATTGTAATTTCACAAATTGTCAAGCAGAGAGAGAGAGAGCATATATGAAGGCAGAGAACCGGAAAAGTAATGACAAACTTAGAACTGAGAAGAAAAAAAAAAAGGAGTAAGACAGTGATAGAATAGCTCTATAAACTTTGCCAAAGGCAGTGTTTTCTTTTAACCATTTTTCTGTTCTTTTCATCCATCTAGCACTTGTCAAATGGCAATCTATCACAAACTGTATCAACGCCATTAAGTCAATAGTGTTTCCATTTGCTCCAATCACTCTTTGTTTTGAAGTCAGTTTTTTTTTTGGTCATTTTTTTTCAAAACCTCTCTGCTTTGTGTCAACTTCCAATTTTATGGCAACTTTTATTCTTTCCACCTCTCTCTCTGCTGGCTCCTTCCCTATACTTAGTTCTTTATATTCTATGCATTTAATTCACAGTTTTGGGAGCATTAACTGCAGGGAAGTGGGGCAAAGCCTATTCTTAGTAAGGGAGGAGGGGGAAAAAAATCCCTAATGTCCCATTCCATTGTACCTCAAAGGGCACTTCATAAAAACTTGAATTTCAAATCTGACTTTTATTACCTCTCCCTTGGCAAATTTACAAAAAAATAAAGAGAATTTCATGATCAAGTTTAGAAAGAGTGGGTTTCTTTGAATTGGTTTTATGGGGGCATTGATTGAACAATCATCGCATGTCTGTAGAGTTGTGCAATTCATACAATCATTTATAATTTTCTCATGAAGTGGAGCAATAGAAGATTGTTGAATACGAGACTCAATGCAAGAATTTCGAATAATAGTTAAACTAGAAACCTCCAAAAGTGAAGAACCACACGTAGCCCCATGCCCCATGCCCCATGAACAAAGACTAGGGGCTAACCTTTGCTATACCACAGTTTATGTACGAACCTCCTAAGATTGACTGCAATTTAATTTCATGATAATAAAAAATCAATTTTATACTGTAGCATGATCATGCAAATTACAAAGTTTCATCAAATATAGGCAAGCTATAAATTTGGTTTACTCCTAAACAGAAATATAAATTTTGGAAATTGCTTTGATTTGATGGGAGTACGTGCTGCAGTATATTGTAGAAGGGTCGTGACATTCATACAAAAAGTCTTCGATTCAAGAAATGGTCTTGAGAAAAAGTAACAGCGCCATCTAATCATCATTGACGAATAACTCAAAAAACAGTATAGCCAGACATAAATAATCTTTTCACAACAACAACAATGTTTTCATTCTTGGACAAGGTGCTTTACCGATGTTTGCCCCTCTTCATCCAGGTGTATAAAAATGGGTACCGGGAACGCTATGGTGGTAAAATTGTAGGGTCTCACTCAGAAAGAGCAGTCAATATGAGAGACGAAGTGTTTTCTGCTATTAAACATAGCCTGAATTTTTGAAACACAGCGCATAGAGAAACTTTTTTTTATTATGCGCTTTATAAATACTGTATTATTATTAACACACAACGCAGGCTTCAGTCATCCGCCTGGGTTGGATTCAAACCCCCGATACTTTAAATACCGACTGAGCCGACTCACCTCCACCTCCATTCCTCTTCCCATCCGAACCCTCTTCTCTGGGGGGGGGGGGGGGGGGGGGGGGTGTTTCATAAAACTTGTCACCAGTGACAAATGACAGTTTTTGTTATAAGCTATTGAAATCCTTGCTTCTGATTGGTTATCATCAGATTTGTCACTGATTTTAGTCAATTGTCATTGAAAAAGGCTTTGTGAAACGGGGCCCTGGTCCTCCATCTTTCTTCCTCCCATATGATAGCCTATATCTAGGTCGGATATGAACATGTTAGCATTCTCAGGGGCGTCGTCTCCTTCTATCGTCATGGATACAACTTATACATCCGTTTGACCGTGGACTTCAAATGTTAACTGTTCTCATGCGTGCATTTCATGAATACCCTTTCAATCAATTGCCCATTCAAAAACAAATAACTCATCTGTGAAAAACTTGATTTGCAAATAATTGAATTGCAAAGTACTATTGGCTATCTTGAGAAAAATTAAGAGAATGTCATTTTGTTTGAGTGACTTCCATGTACTTTTTAATTGTAAGTTTTCATGTATATCCTTTATACTGTGAAGTTACAAATGTAGCTTATACAATAGAGTAAAAGAATAAAATAATGTAAATAGAAAATTAATAAAACATCTTTGACGAATGGATATGAGATATGGAAAAAAGGGCCAAACTATAAAGATAAAGAAATGATCAATATGGCATGAAGACTATTGATGATTGTTATAACAACCAGGTAAGGGGTTACCTTTGTTATAGGGAGAGAAAATCAATGTGCATTGAATTAGAATATTGGGTGATATTACTATTAATAAACCTAATTTGGGTTAAGCCGATTCATTCCAGTCATGCTCCAAAAGCATCAAGAAAAATAAGTTGATTTTGGGAAAAGCCAAGGTGATGAATTATAAAGGACCCGAACCATGATCAAGCAAAAAGTACTTTGGTATAAAAAGAAGTGCACGAAAGGTAGTTCTACCGGTATTTGAAAGATAAGCATGACCTGAATGTATTGTTCAATCTAACTGACGCTGGAAGACCTATTATATCTTTTCAAATTTAGGCTATTTAAAAAATGAGGGCAGGGAGACAATGCGAAAGAAATCACAGTGGGAAGATTATTCTTTTGAGCCTTCAGTTTGACTCCGTTTCCTGAATAGCACCATTCCAGCGAGCTACCCGTACAGTAAAGATGACAATCGTATTATCTCTATCCCAGTTTACCTATTCAGAAGAAAGTTTGTCTGACAGCGGTGAAAAAATAACATTGACTTTGTGGCTTTTCACCATCTTAATCAGGGTGTCACGTTGGAGTGAAAGGCATACAGCCGAATATTTTTTTCCCCGCTTGATCATTTTCAAACAATACCGCGCAAAGTGGAACGACATATTTGCGTCCATTCAGATGTTTTTTTGGGATGCCTGGTTCTAGCCTTGAAAAGGGGACTGCCGCACACAAGCTGACCTTGATTAAGAGATGCATGTTGCGTGTTGCTTCCTTTGTTCCGACGATCCCTAACCAGAGGTGCCGCCTCACGCCTCGGCGACCTTCATGAGAATCATTCCGCACTTCAACGATTCAATACATTGCGCGATCATGTTTGTGTACAGGGCACGCAATCAAAACCGACCGAAGAAGAACACCGACGGGGATAGGTGTACGCTCTATTTTCCACTTGTTCCGCGCCCATTCAAGAGCCGTGAGGATTAACAGTTCCTTACAAAGAACACAATAAGGAAACAAAAACAAAGGCGGGAAACTGTACCGTGATCTATGCGAGAATGATTCAACATGAGGAGTTCGCTGGTCTGTAAAATTCAGGTCGCAATGACTAGTTCAAGTGCAAGGCCTTCATTCAATCGACACGGCACGCCACTATTCTTATCATTTGTCATAATGACTTTAACCCATATTTCACGGCCTACTAACCGACTAATTGTGAGATTGTGGTGGATAAACAACCTTGATCATGGTTTATCTCTTTTTCCTCTCACCGCTAAATGGTGTTAATATTCAAAAGTTGACTTAAATGTGCTTTATGCAACTTTTTGTGTTTGTCCCAGATAGTTTTTCTTTCATGTAGGAAGAATGGAGCCTCCTACGACGAGGTTAATCAGGTTTATAACTCAATCAACAAGTTATGATTTTCACTGCCTCTCACGGTACAGATACAGATATGCAACCTCTTTAATTTTGAAAAAGATAAAAATCCTTCTAAATATTCCCGCAACCAAACTAATATAGTATCTGTCTTCGATGTATGTTTCAAACTGTCATATATCTTCAATTAATTCACTATTAATATTTTATTTTATATCCAAGAAATTCTTAATGATTTCTGTCCAGCACAAACCCCATTTAGAAACTAAGGAAAACCTCAACGTTGATTGTTCCAATATCTCTACAGCTATTTAAGATGCTTTTCTGAACAAGCATTATAGCATTTGCATGGATGAGACTTCCAGAATTTTCATTCAAAGCTTAGATAAAAATTGCTTCTTTAATTTTGTTTGAGGTAAAATGTAAAGTTTTAACCCTGTCTGTCAAAGTTTTAAGCAATTCAATTTTTTAAAACCTAAAACAAAATGTAAACTGCTAAAAGATGTTGCCTGGTGTATCTTATAGTGGGGTCTAGAGAACAGGGTTAAAGTTATACCAATTTATAGTTATAGCATTTTACTGGTTTAGGTACATATATACATGATATTTTACTTTTTAAAGCATATGCCAGAATTAATAAGGAAGCAATTTTATTGTTTCTATGACTACTATTTTTTTCTGATTAAATCT